GTCGTAGGAGAAGTCACACTGCAAGACTGCGAGTCAAATCTTCTGACACTGCCAGAATTTGTCGGAGGTAAAATGTTAATCGGCTGTCTGTGAATATATCAAACTAAATATGGCTTGGGTTCTCACTGTACGATTTTGGCCACGATTTGTCCGTCTGAGACCAATTTTGCAAATTCTAAATGATTCCTCTGATCCTAGGTTAAAATTTGAAGTCTTTGGTCTTTAGTTTGACACGTTCACCTACAGCCGATTAATGACCGTTGCGATCTAATTTTACCTCCTGCATGCAGTGTGACTACTCCTACGACGACCGTCAAATTGTCTTTGTTTTTTGAGACAAGCCATGACCAAAATTAGCATTAGAGATTTGTAATTCAGCTCACGGTCACCGAACGTGTCATTGATTAATGATGTAAAACTCCAGATGAGTTTTCCTGTGTGCGTCCGTTTTATACACGTCTCGACTGTCGTAGAGTCTGACATCAATGACAACTCAGATCTACAGTGTGACGACATGGATCACTAGGGATTCATGTTCGTACAGTCTGACAAGAAACAATTGACCCTTCGCTAAGCCACGCCAGAAAACCGCCACTGGCCAATCGTGGCTTAGTAACCGTAACTAGGCGCGGGAGGTCTGTCAAGCTTTCGAGCGAGGGAAACATGCCGACGCGTTGTGCGTATGGATTGTGCAAATCTGATACCCGTTCTCCTAAAAGTTTGGACGGTGGGGTGGCATTTTTTCTCTTCCCGAAACCTAAAAGCCAAAGGGGAGAAATCCCGGGCGTGGATCAAGCAGTGTGGAGACCCATTCACAACTAAATGTCGACAGGATTAACAAAAAAAACCCGCCTATTGCTTGCAAATAATGGCGGTTCTTTGTTCATAATGTATATATTTGAACGTAAAATAAGACGATTAAAGGCAAGACGGAGGCTCACTGACATACTTTAAAATATATTTCAGCATTTTGTTAATCGACGGCCTACTAACGTTACCCCAGTAACTTTACCCCAATCCGACCGCGGCTGTCCCGGTGTTAGATTGATGGATAAACTGTTTGATTTGTAATTATTAGATTATTTTCACATTTCACTTACTCTGCTGTGGATGAACATAGCTGTTCAATTTGTGTGTTTCCCATGTGAATGGTCTGCTAAGGAGGCGGCTGCAGCTTGCGCTGGGACCTTAACGTTATAGGCTTTAGCTTCAATTGATGAAATTATTCTCTAATCGGTTGCATATTATGTCGTGGATATATCCCTCGAATGCATACTGCTGTCCCTTTTGTCTTGCTCTCTCAGATATTTCACCTGTTCGCCAAAAATGACTAATTATCTCCTTGGGAATGTCTGACACCGGTGCATTCGCACTGTAATAGACGTGGCAGCCGCGAAAGCTTGACAGGCGTAGCAACAGTAACTAAGGAGGGCGGGGCTTAGCGAAGGGTCAATTGTAAAGGACTATTATAAATCACACCGTGTGCACCCGACTTTAGTCACAGATTGCGACATGCCGTGTTTCGGTAGATGTGCGTTTGAATGAGAAATGTGTGCCTTCACAGAGTGGATCAGAATATGATTTTCAGCAATTAATAACTTAAATTGTACTCTGTGCTTTATACAAAACTATTATATACCGCCATCATTTGGACTACTTTTGGTACCGCTTTTGACATTTCTGTAATAAATAAATTATTGTAATTGCATCTGTCTGTCAGTAATGTTTCTTTATAGCTACATATTTTAAAGAAATGGTTACGGGTAGGTTTACAGGTGGGAGTGGGATTAGCTAGCCTGGTAATACCAGACTCTGCTACTTCACTTTGCTTCGTAGACAGAGGCTGGAATGGCATAATAGAGAAGTGTTTTCTCTCTCGCTAGGGGGCGTTTGTCTGAAGTTTAAAATCATTGGTTACCCGTAAGCCAATCAGATAAGTTTATATATGACGTATGTTATGCGCCGACACAGCCGCATCGAACCACAGACATCATGCATCGAACACAAATCTATGATCGAACTTCCACTGTAAACCTGCTGTAAACACTTGATGATGCGAGCGAAATACCGGAGTGAACATGGCTGTAAACGACTTTTGCAGATTATGCAAAGTTAATCTATGCATTCACGGTACAATCAGGGCCTCTAAACTGATATTTGACAGTAGAGAGAAACAAAAAAATATTTGCAGCCAACTGTCAAAGTTAGCATTAGTTCTGTTAAACACAGCTCTTTGTTCATCTCGAGTCTGTCGGAAATGCTGCAACTTAATTGCAAGATCACAGAATGTCATCGCAATATTTAAGACCTGGAAAAGAAAGGAGACACTGACCTGTCAAAAGGCTCCCCAGTTTCTCGCTGACGATCGGTAATAGTTGATAAATTAAACTTTTCCCAAAGGAAGTAGGGCCACAACATCACCACCTCCATTCAAAATGTTTAATTTACACTCTTCTTGTTCGGGCTTCAGTTTGCTAATGCCGGGAATATTCTCCACAACAGAGCGAATTGCATCCGCGTCTCCATATCCGCGGTCGTTTTCGATTTCCCTAACCTAATCTTAAACTCTGCGCTTAGCGACTACGTCACGGCTTTCAGCCCACCCTCTGTTCGTTGATTGGCCGGCTGTTTTCAGGCCGGAGGAAAACGGATAGATAGGCCGCTGTCTCAGACTGAGTACAGAAGCGAAATGAAATTTAGCGGAAGTACTAAGACTGACATAGTCAGGCTAGGGATTAGCAGCTCAAAATATATTTTTCTTTATTCTATATTGTTACTAAAATTAAAATAATATAAAATAAATAAATAAAAGGTTTCTATAAAACGGTAAAAGTGTAACTACATAAATATAAAGATTTGTAAATATTTTGTTTCATTAGCTGTATACGTGTTTTACATTTTAAATGTTGTCAATACGTCCATATTGTACATGTCAGAATCTATCCACACATACAAATGCATACATGCATGTTTACTTGTAAGTGTTACGTACCAATAAACAATAAGACCAGGCTGAAATAAGAACGCTGACACAACAGAGGGTTCTCAGAACTCTAGTGCAATAGGGTTACAGTGAAATCTTTTAGGGTTCTTGGTACAAGCCCCATGTGATGTTCCACTAGAACGCTTTGTAAAGAACCTTTGCCTTATTTGGAATGATGTTTAACCAGAACTTAATTTGACCAAGGTGTACTTCAGATTATTACATAACAGAGACATGCGTACACAAAAACTCTTTTCACAAGCCCACCCCTCTCTCCCTTTTTGTCCCTGTTTCTTCAGACACACAAATTAAATATATACAACTAACTCAGCTATCTTCAGTGATCATCCAACCTTGGAGTGTGTGTCTTTTTATGCACCATCCATTCATCAAACTCACTGCTTATTAAAACGATCAATGTTTAGAAAGGAAAAAATCACCATAAAATACAGTTGGTGGTCAAGCAGACTACCACTACCATCACAAACTATTAATACTGTACATATGAGTGCAAACAATTCCTACTCAAATAAATACAATTTACCCCTCAAACTTTATTGTGGTATTAACAGACCACTTTTTCCGCCTGAATGTGGCTTCGTGTTCTAAGACTCATGTTCAGAAGATTTATTATGTGTGATATCAGGTCAAGACCAGTGTAAAGTCTCTCACACTTTCACTCATTATTTGGGTCTGTGTGTGCCAGTTTCATGTTCTGGCTGGTGTCTGAAACTATATATTTTATCCAAAAAGATCAAGTGGCGTTTCCTTTCAGGAGAAAAAAAAAACAGACTGTAAACACTAAAACAGCCTTGGACAAAAAATGCCTCAGTTTGAACCACCAAACTCTCGCTCAGATTCTTTAGACAAATACAGAGATACTGTTTTTAATCTTCTCAGTACTCTCTGAGTTTAAGGTATTTTAATTTCAGTCTCCCGCATATTTTCTTATCATCGTCCTGCTTTTGTTCCAGCCGGCACAGGTCTGACTGAAACAGCTAAACTGTCAACTGTCAGCCTTCAGTAAAATCAAATTAGAGATAGAGCATGTTGTAAAACCACAAATGCTGACAATTTGAGATATTAAAACAACAACCTATTAAGGAAAAAGTAAAAATTGCCTAACTTGTCATAGGCTTAAGCAATGAAATTTAGGTAAAGCCTGTCAATTTAAAAGCATAACCCGACAGTTGGACCAGTGTGTCGGTGTGTAAATCAAAATGTACCATTTCCATGTTTAGTCTGCGAGTGATAAAATGTGTGAATGACTGAGAAATAGAATGAGAATACAGCGAAGTTCAATGATAGGAGTTCTGAGGCATTTGGACACAACCGTGTGGGGTTGCCTTGATGGCAGTATCCCTGGAACCCAGCAACCCTGAGGGAGGAGGCTGGCCTCTGTGTTAAAGACTCGGATACTGTATTAATGTGTACAGCTGTCTCTGTGTACTGGTTTATTGGCTGCAGACATAAAGAGAGGAACATCAAGCAAATTAACACTTCCTCCCGGAATTATAAATTTAATTTCGTGCTAATGGTCCAGAGGCTAACTGATCCCGATCCATTAATAGCAATCTTATAAAGAACATGCAGAACTGAAACGTCACAAGAAACCAGGGGTCCGTGAACGTACTACACGGGGTGAAGATATTTAATAGGCTATATGGGGGTGGTCCCCTGGGTCTGTACAGGTTGAAAATCTCTAAACAACTTAATTAAATGCCCTCCAAATAAGTTTTTCAAAATGCTAATACATGCATTATTTCGTGATCATTTCGGTTATGTGTTCATTTATCAACTTCAAATTATGTATAAATAATTTCTACAAGTCGGACTAACTCTTTAATTATCCTCTATTCGGTCGCATTGCGGGGTACAAAGACGCACGTGTTATTTTATTTTATTGTTCAAACGCCATTCAATGTCTATGTGCTATTTATTAACTTTCTCAACAAAGTTTATTGGTTGTAACTAGTAGCCTCGCCAAAGAAAAGGTAAAAGCAGTGCCCCTTCTTACCTGCCATCTGTTAACGATGTTACATCCAGCCATTCGCCCACCTCGTTTTTTACGCAGGGCACGTTAGGGTACGGGGGACGGGCCAACATCCCGACCGGGTACCACTGTTCGGGCTGAGGTCGCTCCCGCGGAACCAGAGACCCGCTTTGGCCGTACTCGTATGGGTTACAAATAAACGGCGTTTCATGGTCAGTAGCGTAAGTGATCCTCTGTTTTGGAGGCCCGTACTGTCCATTAGAGTCATCAGCGTACCTATGCGGGTACGCCCAGGTGTCATTCAGTTCACGGGGCATCATCTCTGCCTTAATTTTGACATTATAGTGATTCACGTAATTCTCCACGGGCTCCGTAAACTCCCCGGACATCGCCGAGGGCTTCGCGAAGCTTTGGCTCGGTCCGTTTTCGAACTCCGGGTGGACGAAATGGGCCATGCTCGCGGGCAACAGTTGTTCGAACTGGCACGAAGCTGCGTGCGTCGCGTCCATACCCGATGCTGTCGTCGCTGCCGTACCTTCTGAACTCGGGTTGGCAATGTCCCCGGACATGCTGGCGAACTCATGCACCTCCTGCACACCTGATGTTAAGTGTGATCTAGACGCGTTGCTGTACTGCAAGGTTGTCACCTCACCTGCTAGCTGCACCAGATCGCCACTTTTAAACATCCCGAGCACTTTGTCCCTGCCTCGCAGCTCTAAGCCTCTGTCTCTCTGTCCCATCGCGAGAGCGTACTCTCTGTCTTTCGCTGCTGCCCCAGGTTCGCTCACTGAGCAATCGAGCAAAGGCATATACATTTCATCACTACTACTTTCAGTGGTCAGTGGCGGTGCATGGTGCGGTCCCACCTCGCCTAGTTCGCTGGACTCCATAGCTAAGCCCAAAGACACTGACACGGCTTTGCACAGCTCTCGCGCTGTCTCCGAAATGGTGATGCTGCTACTGCATGCGCGACTACTACTCGCCACACTTGCGTCACGGCCCGAGCCCAACTGGTGCTTGTGAACTTCAGCTGCACCGTAGCCCTTCTGTCCGCTCTCAGCGCCCCGAAGGAAACCTGCGCGACTGTCGCTGCTTTCGGTAGCGTCTGCGAGGCCCGAGCCGCTAGATGACAGAGATGAGTCGCTTTTGCTTACTGTTGAACTCTTGAGAAAATTAATACGGCTTGCCGCTACCTGTATTACCGAAATCGTACTCTCGCACTCTTTTTCGGGGGAGCATAGTATTCCTCTGCGGGGGGACAGCTTGCTTAAACGCATTTCCCTCGACGCGGTCTCCTGCAGGAAGCCGCACTTCTTGGAGCTAGAAATGTCCAAACTCTCGGTGTTCGCTCTCTTTACGTGCACGTTTTGAAAAACGCTTTGGTAAGATCCGTGAAAAACTGCGTCTGGCGACTCGCAAGCCTCCATCAACCCGAACGGAACCTCAATAGTCTAGAAACAGAGTACAACACACACCCCGTGAGGGTTTAAAGGTGACTCACCGCAACAAGTTCATCGACGAATTACTTGGAAAAAGTTCCAGTCAGACAGAGGAGCTGCGCAGGGCGAGAGTGTGTAAGCAAAAATAATCAAACGAACGCTTGTGTAATCGCAGAGGACACGCACAGGCGGCTCTTAATAAATAAACGTCAACGAGAAAAGTTTTCCGAAAATGCACGCGGACGACCGTTTGGTGCATCCGATCATCAGAGCGTCAAGTCAGACACGTCTTATCCATAAATGAGCGGGTGAGAAAGTGAACCGGACCGGGGGTGGGAATTTCACTCCGCTGCTCGAGTAGGCTAGTTTTCCGTCTACCTTGAGAACAAGCGATAAGACTTTGCGCTGTCTGTTTTCAATCATCAACCCGAGCCGAAGCGGCTGTTGCTACAGTAGCCTACTGGGCGCATCATAACAGCCACTTTCCTCTTTTAAGTTATTACAGCCCTTTTTTCTCGTGTCAAGTACTCTTCTGGGCGCATTCGCAGGTAATATTTCTGTGTCACGGTGTTTTGTCGGGGTTAGCAGTAATTTTACGGAGAGTTTGCTCGGGAAAGTCCTTGAGCGCTTTAACTGTCAGGACTAAATAATACAGTCACAGGAACGGCTCCAGTTATACGGGTAGCCTAAATAAGAGCTCACTGCAAATACGATCAGGGGATCACAACTCACTTTAAAAGTATTAAAATAAAACACCGATGATGTATAGCCTATAAATATCATAGGTTTAAAATAGGTGAAAAATAGGCTAAAATCAATGAGCTCCACTATGCTCTATGAGAAACTGCACATGTGCGCACTTTATAGGGGGTCTGGGCCTTATTCTGTGGAAATGCTTCTCATGGCTTTTATTACTGAGCACACATTAAATCCACAATGGGACTGTTAAGTCCACAAAATAAGCCACTTGAAGAGCAAAATAGATTGTTGGCTATTTCTTTTAGAGGAGATGGTAATATTTAACCTTTCTGCAGTAAATGTTCCTGTCTGGACATTTAATGTCAATTAAATGAAATATGAAATTTTATGTTATTTAACAGACAGTTTTATTAAATTAGGCTACAGAATTTAATTAATTAGTATAATTTGGTTTTGTAAACATTTCTAATGTCATCAGAGAGGATGTGAATTTTTCAATTGAGGTGGGAATTTAAAATAGGCCTATGTGAAATGTGCACTGACTGAATAAAATGAGAAAGAGAAAGAGTCAGAATGTGTTGGATAAATTAACTTTGCATAAATCCATGAAATCACTATCTTTTTGCTTGGACTGCTGTCCCTTTGATAAAGGCAAGGCATCACTCTAACTTTTTCATTCAGAAGATGAGAAACATAACATGACAATAATTATATCTTACTGAAGGGTAATGCAACTGTGGGGTCCTGGGTGGCTTCTCATTCACATCCAGCCATGAGGCCCGGTTTAATCAAAAGACCATTGTACTACAAGTAATATTATTATTATCCTAGAACTTATTTGACTGCAAAGGCAAGGACATTTCTTAATAACCCTTTTATTCACTGTAACTTCCTGTGACCTTTATTATTTTCTTTGCCAGAAGGTTCAGGGGATGTTAATGGTCCTCAGTGAAATAAGGCTATACATTATTAATTTCTGTTTTCAACTGTCAAAAAACTGATCACATTGCAACAAAGGTCTCAGTCATGTCAAATGTTGTCACACAAAATGATTTCCTTGCATAAATGATGCCCTATAAGCAAGAGTTAAAGGATTAGTTCACCTCAAAATGAAAATTTCCTGATAATTTACTCACCCCAATGCCATCTAAGATGTTCATGTCTTTCTTTCTTCAGTGGAAAAGAAATTAAGTTTTTTGGTCAAACATTTCAGGATTTTTCTCCACACAATGGACTTCAACGGTACCCAAATTGTTGAAGTCCAAATCAATTCAGTTTCAAAGGGCTTTGAAGTGCTTGAAAGGGCTCTGCACGATCCCAGCTGAGGAATAGGGTCTTATCTAGCGAAGCGATCTGTCATTTTCCATAAAAATTTAAAATGTAGGCCCTATATACTTTTTAACCATTTCAGAAAAATCCTGAAATGTTTTCCTCAAAAAACTTAATTTCTTTTCCCCTGAAGAAAAAAAGACATGAACATCTTGGATGGCATAGGGGTGAGTAAATTATCAGGAAATTTTCATTTTGAGGTGAACTAGTCCTTTAAGAGAAGCCTTCACATAAGCAATGAGCGTGCCACGTATGCAGTGCAGGGAAAGGATATTGCATTTGCAGCCCTGAATTGTCATGAACGCTGTTTGATTTGGATGAGGAATGCTGCAGTGAAGTGTTTGAGGTTATTGAGAATGAGTGGCTTATTCAGAATGAATTGGTTAGAATCTGTGGGAGGAGCTGAGACTGAGGGATGGAAGTTGAGAGGGCTATTGTTTTGTTTATAGTTTTGGTCGGAGATTTGCTTAGTTGAAGGGAAAGTGCTCAGTTGTGTTGCTTATCAGTTGAGTATGAGCTGGTTTTTGTTTATCATGTCTCATCATCACATTTTTTGTTAATCATTAGGAATCAGCATTCTACCAATCCCTCGCTTCTTTTTGCTCTATCCCATCAACTCGAGTGTGTGTCCGCATGTGTGTGTAGCACACCTGTTGCTTAGTAACTGAAATTCCACATATACTCTGAGCATTACGGCAAAGTGCATACCATTTATTCTGTTTTAAAAAAAAATCTTCTATTTATCTGAAATAGTTTTGAAGGTTGTGGAGACCTGCTAATATTATGTTAAAAGAATATTCCAGATTCGGTAGGCCCCTATAAGTTAAACAAGTTAAACAGCACAGGTGGCAGATGTTGATTGCCACAAAAATCTATTTCAACTGGTCCCTCCTGTTTTTGTTTTTGTTTTGTTTTTTATTAAAATTCTTGGTTACAGTGAGGCACCAGAAGTGAAAGGGACTGTAACAAAGTTAGTTGTTGTGGGAAGAAGGAGGTGGGAACCGGTGAACGCTCACAATCACTTTAATAATAAAACAAACACAAAATGAAAGTAAAGGCGGCAGGCCCTCACTGACGACCATGTGTTGGCTCATTACAAGTAACTTGAGTTACATAATCAGACTTTTTTTCAAGTATCTAGTAAAGTAACGCATTAGGCTACTTTAAAATTTTCAACACCATATCTGAATTACTTTTTCAAATAAGTAATGAATAAGTACAAATAAGGCGTTGTGTGTAAACATGATGGTTATTGTAGTTATAAACTAAATGTGAGCGTGCATTTACTCATCTCACTTGCACAAAAAAGATTCAATATTCCTTAAAATGAATAGAATCAGAATACTATGCAAACCTCCAATAACTAAATATGTTAAAAAAAAATATATATATATGGATTTAAACTCACATTATTGACCAATGTACTTGCTTCTGACCTTCGATGATTCAGGTAAACCATAAGCAAAAATTACTATAGATTTTTTTTTTTTTTTTGGTCAAGTAAGTGTTAAACTTTTTTCTCCTGCATCCTTCCTATTTTTCCGCTATCCAGAATGGCAGCAGAGCTGAAAGGTTTGCTTGAGCTGCGCCCTCTACTGTACACGCGTGAATTTGCATTTCCTTCAGCCTGAGGCTTATTCATTTCACTTTTGGTTTGAAATTAAATTTGAAAATTTTTACATTCGGCCAAAAACCTTTTTTTTTTTTGTTATAAAAAAACAAGCCTAGCCTAATTTCAACCTCTTATTTGAGTCTTCTGGCTCAATTCTTTCCATATTGTTACAGCCAGTTCGTGTGTGTGTGTGTGTGTGTGTGTGGGTGTGCGTGCGAGCGTGTGTGTTGTTTCACCGTGGGGATATAAATTGAGGTCCCCATGCGGAAACAACCTTAAATCATACAGAATTAGTTTTTTTTTTGTTTTTTTTGGTGGAAAATGTAAAAATTCAGAAAGTTTTCTGTGATGGGTATAGGGTTAGTGTAAACAGAATATACAGTTAGTACAGTATAAAAAACATTACGTTTATGGAGTCCCCACAAGAGAGTGTGTTTGAGTAGGTGTGTCTGTTTTGTACTCTTAATGTTTAGAATGTAACCTCTTCCTTCCCAAGTGAAAAATAAATATACTAAAATGTATTTTAAATACATTTATTTAATGCTAAGTAAACTACCAATACATTTACATAGGCTATTCATGTACTTAATATAGGCCTACATATTATTGTACTTTTAGTGTAAATTGGTATACTTAAAGTCTGCTAAATTGGAACAACTAATTTTGTACTTAATGGTGGTCGATTTTGACCCCAAACAACTGCACAAGTACTGCTAATTTCTTTTTACAACCATTTAGGTTGAACCGAATCAAGTACATTATCTTTTTTTTTTTTTTGGTCTAAAATGACCGAACTACACCAAAGGGTTCAAATGTTCTTCACACTTTAACAAACAAACAAACAAACAAACAAACAGTTCTTCTTAGGCATCAATACTAAAACCACTGTTTTGGAATCTTTATTTATAAGAGTGCATTCACATTTATAACTGAAGAGAACTTTGAAAAGTTTCACGAGTTCACAAATAATCAGAGTAAAGAGAATATGTTTTTGGCATGCTGTCTGAGGAGAGGGCTCCGAGCCCGGAATTTGCTCCAAACCCAGAGTACTCCCCCGTATCCCTGGCTGGGGTAGTAACCAGCCGAGAGTGAGGAGACAGGGTGATGCATGGAGGGATGCAGAAAACTGTTGAGGAACATATGGTGAGTCGGCTATGTCTCCTCTCGTGCTGATTGGCTAGATCATTTGAATGTGTTCCTCCCGAACTTTGTTAATAAAACTGTTTTATTAACAAAGTTTGGGAGGAACACATTCAAATGATCTATTCAAATGATCTTATGTTATTAAAACATCATTAAGTGAGTGTGAGTGCAAGAGAAAAAGTAAAGCAACGTTTCTCAAAGCTTTCGAAGTCTCCATTTTCTAATTTGCAGTCCGTAGCTTTTCCTCTTTGTCGCCATCTCTCTGTTCGAAATCTGTAACTGCAGTGATTCGCGGAATTATCATCTTTACGTGGGTTGTAAATCGGCATGAAACAGCGCGGATGAACACAGTGTTTTGAGGCGAGTGGTGCTGTCAGTCACCGCGCTGTGTGGATACTGTCATACAGAATCACAGATTCACTTTTTGAAAGTTTGACCAACATAAGAATTTTCATAAGAAAATGTCTTCTGAACAAGTAAGTAACATCCATTTTTGTTCTGACCAACTAAGGGGGAAAAAGCATTCGACATGATGAGCTTCGTTAGATTTAATCAACGCGATTTACAGCAACCGTGCAAATTATAGCCTACTTTGTTCTCAAATTGTTCATGTTAACAACATCACATCAGCATTG